GCTAGCATCTAATATTCTGTATAGTGTGTAGTGTGTGTCCTAAGACTTTATCTCTGGTGTACTTGACTCTGTTCTCTCCTATCTATCTACTTCTGTTGCCGTAGCGTGTGCACAAAGTCTATCCTTTTGCTATGTTGGCTTCCTGTATCATGTACTGTGTGGTTGTGTGTATCCAGTGCCCTATTTGTTCTTCTTGTGTCCCTTAACCTCTCTTGCCTTACCTAATGTCCTTACTTCTAACTCCTCGTTTCCACTTAACAGGTTTAGACTGCAATTTCTATACACATGTCTACGTAGGCAACACTAAAAACAACCTTCACTGTCACACTAGTGCGTGCATCCTCTTTACGTACCTTGTCGATGTTCCTTTTGCTTCCCAACTGGGTGCTGTTTTCAACTGAAGACACCTACCTAAACATTTTCTGCACTCGTCTTTTGTCGCTATGTACGTCCTGCGGATGTATCGCCGCCCAATCCGGTGTATAACCAAATCGATGCGATGGAATTGACCTTAGTGTCCATGTCGATGTTGGTGTTTGTCTCTTTTGATCTTGGCCCAACCCTTCCTGTCTCCTAATTATATTAGTTCCGGGTGTCGTTTCCAGTGGAACCTTCCCTTCAGACTTCCTCTCTTTGCTTTCTGGCGACGCCACCCTAACATTCAATCGGGCGGGATGACTGTAATCGTATAACATCTTTCTACGGTTATGTAGTCCCATTCGTCTTGTGTTTCTCTCAATTTCCTGAGTTCTCCTAACTTCTTCTGGTTCTGAGGCACTACTTTCGTTTGTTATCAGTGCTGACATACTGTCACTAGTGTCACTGCTTACGAAACCACTGTTTGTACCGTCTCCTCTTCGCAATTCTATTCCATGGGACGCCATTTCTGTGGTCGATGTCAATGTTTCCTCCCTTTTCTACTATAAATTTTTATTATTACTTTTTTTACTCTGGGTCCTATGGGCCACCGCTAGTATTTATTCCTCTTCAGGATATGTTCAATGATGTCCAACCTATAGGTAAGTAAGTTAAAAATGTAGTAAGTTGTAAAGATAACTGTATCTCAACGTACTCCCCTCGTACAAGGGGATGCGTTGTTTGTTTATTGAACTATTCCTGACACTATATTTTGATCATGTGTTTTCCTACTCAGATTTACTCTGAACGGATAAACCCAGTTTCAAAATATTGTCTCTAAAATACTAATACTAAATAAACTCTAATACTAAATAAACCCTAATCCCCAAATAAACCCTGTCCAGGGACCCCCTGACTACAGAAATACGGCCTCCGGTCAGTCTAAGATCAAATGAGATAACACATTGGTTTTTATTTGCAATTAAAAAAATTTAATACAAGTTATTCTTCCAATATTTACAAAGTGTTCTACAGTCACTTTGATGGCTCCAATAGCCTTAGTATTTGGTATGACTCATTTACTTGTACTTATTTGAGACGATAGTAGATGTAGGATATTATAAACTAAATTTTATAATCTCTGAACTACTATTTACAGGTTTTGGTCTTCCAGCCAATCTCCAAAATCTAATAAGTCTTTTTCTTCCTTTAACTTTTCTTCAGATCGAACTTTATTTATATTAGCTACTGTATTAACTTGACTTACGTTCTTATGTCTATCTACAAATTAGACATGTGGTCATGAACACTTAGT